TGGCCATTTCCTTGCCATCTGCCCCAAGGTTGCCCATGCACCAGCTTCTTGCACTGAGCAGGGCAGAGGCTCTGTGGCTCCCAGTGTAGCTGCTTGCAGCCTCCCAGCTGCCTGCCACAGCTGACCCAGGCTCTGGGCAGGCCCCTGTCATGGAGCTCAGGCTGCTTGCAGCAGTGACAGGGAGGCTGCAAGCAGCTGCGGTGGGATCCATGGAGCTCTGGCCCAGCTCAGTGCTGGTGGTGGGTGCCTTCGGGCAAACAGTGGGGAAGGGGCCAGGGCTGTGATGCTACAAAAAGGATTGGGTCCCTTGTGGCTCAGTTCCTCGCCATCCCAAGCCAACTGTGGACCTTGGTGCAGCCCCCAGGCAGCCACATGCCAGCAGCAGCAGTGGGCGAGAGGCTTTCCTAGCCCACTGCTGCCACTGGTGCACAGCTGCCCAGAGCCCAGGGCTGGTTGTAGGCAGCAGAGGCGGCAGCATCAAACCTTGCCACAGCCCTGTAAGGCCACAGGCCACAGCCCTTTAAAGCCATGGACAGCAGCAGCACATGTGGGCCTTTCCCAGCCTGCTGCCTGGAAAAGGAGTACAGGAAGTAGTTGAAAGGATCAGTATGTATGTATGACTGGAAAGGATTCTTGTATCATAGTCTAGTTCATGCTATAATAGGCAATGATGTGATTAACAGTTCCATTTGTAAACTGATTTTCCTGCATGCTAAAACTGGGTAGGTTGTCAGCCCTGTAACTCTGGTTGAAAGACTGTTCCAGAATTTTACTGCTCTGAAGCATACAAACTTTTTTATTTACAGGCCAACATATTTATAGCCAGTTTATGCATTTTATCTTTTGTCAGTATTGTCCTTTAAATAGGTTTTTTCCTCCTTTGTGGAATACCCTCTGAAGTATTTATAATGTCAGTGGTATCCTTTCTCACCTTTTTGTTTTCTTAGGATAAACAAACTTTAAGTTTTTTAGTCTTCTTTCATAATGTGATAGACTCTTCTTTACTTTAACCATCCTAACTGCCCTTTTCTCTTAACCTGTTCCATCTGGTATTTATCCTTCTTGAGCAAAGATATCATCAGTGTTCTGCAGTTGCACTGATACTTCCTTGTCTCTGCTGAAAGACTTGCCTGATGCATCCTAGAATTACGCTTGCCTTTTACATGACTGCATTGTATTATTGGCAGTCATACTGTGATAGACTAATGTAACGAAGTCCTTCTACTCCTCAGTCATTTTGGCTGATCTCCCACTCGATAGTTCAAATTCTTATTAATCCCTAAATGCCCGACCTTGTTTTTTGTACTATTGAATATTGTTCAATTTCTGTTACTCCACTCTTCAAGGTAACCAAGTTCTTCCTATGTGAAATACCAACATATAGGTGCTCCTTTTTCTGCATGATACAAATGCAACTTAAGTTTATCAAAAATCTGTTAGACCTGTGATTTCATGCATTGATTCACTCTGAATTTTGGGATGGAAATGATAAGGTTCTTTTATATTTCTCCTCCCAAGCTTGAATGTGTTCAGCTCTTTGATTTTTTGCTTCGACCTTATGTAGACATTTCTATTTCCATTTGTTCCTTCTCCAATAGATATTGTGTCTTTGACTTAAAAAGGTTTAAACCGTCAGGCCTTTTCCAAGATCTCTTCAGTCCAGTAGACTAATTCCTTCCCTGTGTTTATCAGAAGTTTGCCCAACTGAAATAGAAACTTTGTTACATACTTCCTTTTGTTTATCTTTCCATTTAAATTAGATTAAATCAGCTCATGTTCATATGATCCAAGGTTATTTTATATAATCAGGTTTTCTGTAATGTCCCTTTTGCTTGCCTAAAGCAAGTATATAATACTGTCACTCCTCACTTGTTCAGTGACAGTCACATCTATGAATAATGGGGCCCTACTATTCAAAATGTGACTAACTTACCTGGGAAGTTAATCTCCTTTATGACTGTGTGTCTGCTTTTTATTTCTAAGGGCCTTTTCAGAAAGAGAAACAATGGTTAATTGATTATTTGCAAATGAATAAAGCTAAATGGAAAGAAGTGATATATTTTAACTTAAAAAAACCCTTACAAATAACACCTAAAATGAAAATTGCCTATAGGCACAATTTTTTCAGGCACATACTTTGAAGTCTGCTGTTGTGGGAGCCTGCTGGGCTTCCCTTGGGTCCTGCTGCCACTGGTTCC